AGATAAATTAAAACAAAAAGCCTTCTTCATTTGAACCTCTCTTGTGAGGCGTTCATCTTGAGCAGATTACGAACCTAGTCCCATGTTTCACTGCTCCACGTGCTCCTGCAGCAACATTTGAACAGTTTCCGGCAGTAAATGTTAAAATTAAGAATGTCACTGGATTTGAATCACAGATGTAAGAAACAGCCAAAGTGTCAATTTCATAGAAATGACACTTAAAGTGTAATCTTGACCTTCTAGTGAGTGAATGAGGTGATGGTCACCAACAGGCCGATATCATTTCTTTTCGGTAGTTTCCTATGACTGCTGGCTTTGCATTGACTCTTTTTCAGAACTGCGGAAAACTGGCTTCCAAATTAATACTGAATTTAGGAATTGTCTACAATTCTGGGTGATCATAATGTTTAAGACAAAATAATCTTGCAGCGTTTGACTGGATGTAATTTGAGGCCACTGGTGTAATTGGATAAATAGTCTGGATTTTCCAATGGAATTATTACACCTAGAATATACATGTAGATATTTTGTCAATGTGGACGTGGCTAATTAGTTCAGACTTTAAAACTCTATAAGTGATTAATAATAATGAGGATGGAGAGTAATAAAGGGTCAGATAAACTCATAATTGGACTGTGCGTAAAATAGTTTGGAAACTACTGAATTGTAATCCTCAATTACAAATTCTAGCAATAAGTAAACACTGGCACCATTCAATCCATCTTGAAGCTGGCCTTTAGACCTTCACTTTATTATAACTGCTCACAAGAGCATAATTCACTCAAATCCCTAATGCAACCTGGCATCCCATGCTGAATGGAGATTATTTTAATTGCAGAAAAAACTTCTTTAACTAACGCGTCAATAAAAGGTAATTGGAGATAGGAATTGGAGGATAAGGAAATTATTGGTAATTCAATGTATACTGTATATGTAGCATTAAAAAAACACATCAACTTGCCCTGTATATTCAGCACCCTGGATGCTCTGTGCTGCTTGGTGATGAGCTGCGAGTGGAGGCAGGCATACCATGGTTACTTGATTCACAGTGGCATTGTCAGTGTTGTATGCAGACAGGCAATGTGACATCTCATGGAAAATCTGACTGTTAGCTTCCCTGGGGTGAAAGAAGCAGACAAGTTCAATCAACAGGATGCCCAGTAAGTGCCCAAGCTGCTCAGTCTGCTTTTGTCTCCTGTGTACTTTGAAAGATATCGTCCAGCTGGTTGAAGCTGATTTGGACAGATGTCTGTATTTGTGAGATGGCATTTTGAGCTGGGTGCTCCTTGCCTCCTACCCCTCAAGAAATCTGCCTAGTCAAAACCCTAGCCACAGAAGCTGATTTTTTGAATTTGCTGTGTTGTGGAATCTTTATTATCCACCCTAACAGACAGACGAGACCTCGGTTTAACATCTAATCCAAAGGGCAGTATCTTTAACAATGCAACTTGAACCAACAACCTTCTTACTTAGAGACGAGAGTCCTACCAACTGAGCCAGGCTGTCACATAATTGGTTCCAAATATGACTCCTTTTTATGCTTATACTGATTTGAATCCAGTAGTTTAGATTGTATGTAGTGGGAGACTAAGATTATATTTCCAGGCAAATCCTGGGATATATGAATAACTAAGCTGGACAGTTACCAAACATTTAGCATTTAGCATTTTGACCCTATGTTATTTCTCTAACAAAATTGGCCATCAAATAGATTTGTAATCAATTCCCTCGATTATTCTGTTAAAGTGGCAGACTACATTTTCTTCTCAGTTCGAAGTCAGAAAAAGTCCAAAAATGTTTTTGCAACATCTGAAAATAATCTGGTAAATTAGGCATTCAGATTTTTTGGCAGAAAACATCTGCTTGTGTTTGGATAGTTTAAAAAATTGGTTGCTAAACCATCATAAAATCTGGCACAAATCGAATCAGGGATTCAGTGTAAGTGATCCCTTGCCATTTAGCATGTAGTGAAAACTATTACAAGTGTGTCTTTTACATTGGTGCAAATTGCAAGTTATGTTAATTGTCAGAATTTTATTAGTGGCAGTTTAAGTTTGTTTTTAGTCTTGTGGATATCAAAGCACAGCTTGCCAAGCTCAAATGGGTGCACAAGCCAAACAGCAATAGCCAAAAACTGAAAGACTGCTCCTGGGCTGGATTTAGACACTGCAATGTGTGCATTACATTAAATGGTTGCATGTTTGTTGTGTGGCATTGATATTTTCCTCACACCTAACCCCAAAATGATATCTTATTATTTTAAATTAACCCCTACATTGCAGTTTGGACCAAGTTGTTCTTGTGCTGTCTTTTGGTCTAGGTCACCTGTTGTCAGTGGTGACTTGATGCCCTGGAACTTAGTGATTTTTCAGCATGCGAAGATGGTTGTACCATGCTTTCAGTTAGTACAGTGAATATGGCACAAACACGATAAGCAAAGAGCAGGGCATTATAATGGAGTTCTCCTGTAGCTCCAGTGGAGCAAAACAAAACTTTGGTCAGTGCCAAAAAGTATACCCTCCCTCGTTATAAGTGTATGAGGTGTGTTCTTTTTGAAGTGGTTTTGGGTGATAAATCCCTTTTCTATTCCAGTTTTCATAAACCTGGAGAAAAATGTGTGCTCTGAGGGGACAACATGATGTCATAAAAGCTCCGATACCAAGCAGGGCTGATGGTCACATTATCTATTTAGCATTAACTTGTTGCATGACACACCATTGCAACACATGACAACTGTGGCAAAATTATCATCGTGTACATAAACCTCGTAATAATAATAGTAATTATAAATATTGATCCTTTCTTGAAATCCTTTTTGAACCTACCCTGTTGACACTCTTATATAGAATCTGGATGCATTTAACTTACCGAGAATTGATACTGAACCTAAATTTTGTTATTTTTCAATTATACTGCATAAATAAATCATTTTGCCCACAAAATACAGTCAAACCGCTTTACAGTATATCCTGTGTTTTGCTCTATCAAATGCAAGTTATTATTATTATTCATATAACTTTTGTAATTCTAAAATGGTTTCCTTATTGCTGATGTCACCGAGTTTGTCCTGTTAGCATTCATTCCACAAGAGGGAGATGCAGATACGTCACAATTTCCAGCTGATAAGTTACTCCTTCATTCAGCAGCATTCACAGAATTGAGCTGGACAGTGATCATATAGATCTGTCATCCAATCTTAAAACCATTGGGGCAAATGTATGTGGTGTTTCATGACATATTCTTGGTTGAATTAACACAAAGCAGGTACTTCTAACTGCGTCCCATTGTCTTAAAATTGAAGATCGCACAGAATTGTGCAAAATTCAATTCAGACATAATTTGGAACGTACAATTATTGAATTTAATAATTTCCCTCAGGATCAGAAAAGTACAAAATGCGTCACAATAACCCTACACTTTGTTTTAGCTGTGAATGTCTTGAAATAAGAAACTATATCAAATCCAAGGATTATTATTTATTATAGACAGCTCTGCATTGAGAGTTCAGCTCTCAAATGGCAATGGTATCAGTTGCAAAAAGAAGTAGAAGCAGAAAACCGTGAAGAGAATCGGGATAAGAAGTAAAACAAATCAACTTTTGTTTTAATGAAGAGTTTATTGGAAAGCTAAGGTGAAGTGGCAAGCCACATACATCAGGAGAGAAATATTAAAAGCAAATCAGATAGATTAAGTGTTAATAAATTTACCCCAATCCCAAATAAAACACATTTCTTCCTGCCAAGTCTACAAAATAAACACTGTCACTCCATTTACAGTATATCCTGTGAAGCACTTTGTAATGTTCTTCTAATACTACACTAACAAAAGGTGCTGTTCCAAATGTAAGTATTATTATTATTACAACAACAACTTGTATTTATAGTACCCTTCATGTGGGGTAGTGTCCCGGAGAGCTTGACAGTGGCAGAGTCTGACCCACTGATGATACAAAGGGTCCGCACAGGAGTGAGAAAGGAGTAATTCAGGGATTTGGATCCATTCATAATAATAAAAGTAATAATAATGCTTGCATTTGGATACAGCGCATCAACGCATCGTCGCGATGCCCCCAAGCGCTTCACTGGGTATAACCCTAAAGTGGATTGACTTGTGTATTTTTTTAGGGCTGACACTGTTTGGTTTGCTTGTTGGGTCAAGTGCCAAATCCTATCAGTGGGGGTGGCTCAGAGGTGATACTGTTATGGTTTGAAAGCAGCTCCAGCTCAGCTCCTGCTCTGCTCCAGCTCCACTCCTGCTCCAGCTCAGCTCCACTCCTCCTCAGCTCCAGCTCCACTCCTCCTCAGCTCCAGCTCAGCTCCTGCTCAGCTCCACTCCTCCGCAGCTCCACTCCTGCTCCAGCTCCTCCTCAGCTCCAGCTCCTCCTCAGCTCCAGCTCCACTCCTCCTCAGCTCCAGCTCAGCTCCTGCTCTGCTCCAGCTCCACTCCTCCTCAGCTCCAGCTCCACTCCTCCTCAGCTCCACTCCTGCTCAGCTCCAGCTCCACTCCTCCTCAGCTCCAGCTCCACTCCTGCTCAGCTCCACTCCTGCTTAGCTCCAGCTCAGCTCCACTCCTCCTCAGCTCCAGCTCAGCTCCACTCCTCCTCAGCTCCAGCTCAGCTCCACTCCTCCTCAGCTCCAGCTCAGCTCCAGCTCCACTCCTCCTCAGCTCCACTCCTGCTCAGCTCCACTCCTCCTCAGCTCCAGCTCAGCTCCAGCTCCACTCCTCCTCAGCTCCACTCCTGCTCAGCTCCACTCCAGCTCAGCTCCAGCTCCACTCCTCCTCAGCTCCACTCCTGCTCAGCTCCTGCTCTGGTTGAGAGCTCCCGCTGTGTGTGTTGCGTGTGTGTGTGTGGAGACGCCCTGAGAGCAGCAGCAGTGTTGTTGTTGTTGTTGTTGTGGTGGTGGTGGTGAGCGCCAGTGGGAGGAGAGCGGTGCTCCCGGCATGCCCCGGGCTGCTCCCGGCATGCCCCGGGCGGGCTGGCGGGCAGGGAGGCGGCCTTCTCCTCCTCCTCCTCCTCACCGCCGCCGCCGCCGCTCAGTGACGGGGACCCGGAGCTGCTGATAGCGAGGGCCCGGCGATCCCCTCCCCCTCCCCCACTCCCTCCCAGACCCCACAGCCACACACACTCGGCGGAAATGCAGTAAAATGTCCCGGTGAGTGAGTGAGTGAGTGAAGTGAGTCAGTCGGGGTGGGAGGGAGGGAGGGAATGGCCTCCTCCTCCCCTCCTCCTCCAGGCCCGGAGCCTGAGCCACAAGCCTCGCTCCCTCCCTCCCTCCCTCCGCGTTTTTACGGATCGGCAGCGATGGCGCCCTCAACCCTCACCGCCCGCCGGCACCACCACCACCACCGCCCGGCAATCACCGCCCGGCAATCACCGCCCGCCTTCGGCAAACACCCACTGACTAAACCCCCAGCCTTCAGCAACCCAAGGCCTGCCCGCCATCCCCCTCCCACCCCCCCCCCCCGCCATCCCCCCCTCTGCCAGCCCTGCCCGCCATCCCCCCTGCCATCCCCCCTCTGCCAGCCCTGCCCACCCCCCCCTGCCATCCCCCCCCCCGCTCTGCCATCCCCCCTGCCATCCCCCCTCTGCCAGCCCTGCCCACCATCCCCCCTGCCATCCCCCCTCTGCCAGCCCTGCCCGCCATCCCCCCTGCCATCCCCCCTCTGCCAGCCCTGCCCACCACCCCCCTGCCATCCCCTCCCCCCGCTCTGCCATCCCCCTGCCATCCCCCCCTCTGCCAGCCCTGCCCACCATCCCCCTGCCATCCCCCCCTCTGCCAGCCCTGCCCGCCATCCCCCGCCTGCCATCCCCCCTGCCATCCCCTCTCTGCCATCCCCCTCTGCCAGCCCTGCCCGCCACCCCCCCTGCCATCCCCTCCCCCTGCTCTGCCATCCCCCCCCTGCCATCCCCCCTCTGCCAGCTCTGCCCACCATCCCCCCTGCCATCCCCCCTCTGCCAGCCCTGCCCGCCATCCCCCCGCCTGCCATCCCCCCTCTACCAGCCCTACCCGCCATCCCCCCCCCCCCTGCCAGCCCCACCCACCCTTGGGTACTTACCCCTTCCTTTCCCTTCCCCCCCACCCCCACCCTCTGCATTGCCCCCCTTGTGTAACCCCCAGGCTCCCCACACTCCCTGGTGCCCGCGGCACGTCGCCGCGTTTCACCCACAAAATCTGCAGCCGCTCCACTTTACGGTCTCGTCTGGGAAGCGCTTTGAGGCGTCTCGAAGACGTGATAAGGCGCTACATCAAATGCAAGGATTATTATTATTATTGTTACATCGCCTTCCCCCAGCCCCACCCCTGGCAATCACCCACCCACCCCACTAACACCGCGCTCTCTGGGTGTGTGTTTGTGATTTGCCAAGGTTTAGTTTCGGATCTGAACTTGTAATTGTAACAATTTGTAGTTGTTTGTAATTGAAACCAGATGTTGTAGCTTTGATACTTTGCTAAGATACGTGCCCAGCACGTCTATTTATTATAGATCAACAACAACACCAACAACAACAAGATTACATTTGTATAGCGCCTTTCACATCGGCAGGACGTCCCAAGCTGTCTAAACGTCTAAACCTCAACAAGTGTTGAAAAAAAGAGCACAGGATCGTTTGCAAAGAGGCGTTTGACGATCCTTATTTTCTTTGCAACTATCTAACCACTTATATAAAATGTATGATATTGCATTGAAACCAAGTTTCGGCTCCTCTGGAATTGCATTAACGATTTGCATTTATTTAGATAGTGCCATTCACGCAGGACGTATTTTAAACAAATCTGTTTTATATTTGGCTTTGTTGCTTTTCAATTCGTCTGATTCATTTGTTGACTTGCAATCAGTACCAATCTCAGGCCTTATTTGGATAAACCATATCTAACTAAAAATACAAAACGTCCTCCCGATGTGAAAAGCGCTATACAAATGTAATTTTGTTGTTGTCGTTGTTGTTCTAACCACCTGTTTTCATCTGAAAAGCTAATGCCTCTTCCTGTGAGATTTCCGGGCTCATCACAACAGAATGATGGCAACAGTGAGCTACATAATTAAAGCAGTTCTAATAATAAACTGCAAGGATAATTCGTTTATATCAAGTTCCTTTTTTTATCTCAGCTTGCTACCATTTACGTTTCAAACAGTTCAAACATTTTACTGATTTCATCTGAGTTGCTTACAGTCGTTTTCCATTTAATCATCAGTTGTTGTGAAGTTGGTAAATAATGTTGTTGATTAGCTCCATACTTTTTCTGTGGTACATGAAGATACATTCAGATCTGGTGTACTCAGATAGATTCGGAACCCCTGATTTTTTTTCCCCCTGATATCAAACTCCGTGGAAAGTGGATAAATACAGCACTGCATGTCAATTTGTTGAATTATTTCACATTTTAGGATGGTATAGTACATTTATAACGAGTTGTTATTGGAGAGTTTGGATCCTCAAACTTTTGTTTTAATCACCGATAAATTACATTGTATATTATGTCATATGACAATTACTGCTTTAATACCATTTTGTGACATAGCAAAATAAAAGAAAATTATCTGGTAAATAGATACATTGGTCACAAATGTAGAGGATCCCATTTCTTTCAGATCATCTTAATTCGATGTGAATCTCAATTTATTGCTTCCTAGGCTAGATTTGGTCAGTAATTTTGTGTTGCTCATGGAATCTTTTCCAATCTGTCATTCAACAGATTGGAAAATAATGGTTTTGAAGTCTGGAGGAGTAGGGACATACGAATAGTAATTTTATGGAAACACCCACGTAACTACTTTTGCTTTTTAACTTAGGATATCAAGTGATTATGGCATCTAGACATCAAAATGTCAGCCAGAGTGTATGTTGTGCTGTGGAGGATGAGCTTGTCAATAGAAATCAAAGTGGAAAAAGGATGCATTCTGATGACAATGAGACTATGAAACAGGTGAGAAAAGTATTTTTATGCACAATATTCTCAGCTACATAGATTATTGTACATAATGAAATATATATAGAATGTTTCATTTGTACAATTGTTGTTCACCAGAATGACAGTTCACTGACAGTTCCTTAAGTGGTAAGAACTAACAATTTCATGTTATGGGTGTATGGTTCTTTAACTCTCTAAACAGTACACTAAATTTGAACCATGGAAATAACAATATGTGCAAACACTTTGCCAGACAGAACGGTTATCCTAAAATGCCTTTTCAGAAACAGTGCAATAATGCTTGTAGGAGATGGGGGCCCTTTTACCTTCACTCATATTTGTTTTTTCTAAATATTTGCAATTATTGCTAATACAGTTGAATAAACTTGTATTTGCATTACAAAATTACAATTTTTTATGATCTTATAGTATATCATGAATCCTTTATTCACAGTGATTGTTTGTTTTTAATACCAGGTTAGAACATTGGAATGTAAAAAGGTGACTTCTAAAATTAAAAGGTGAGATGACAGCTAATTTAACTCTTGTGGTTTTCTAGATTTCTAAACTTGCAAAATTACTCTGGCTAAAGGGAACATTTCACTCTATAATAAAGTTTGCTTGCTATCTGTTCTCCAGTTATTATTAATCACACCTCACTGACCTACAACAACAACAACAACAACAAGATTCCATTTATTGAGCGCCTTTCACGTCAGGAGGACGTCCCAAGGCGCTGCACAGTTGGGTCATGACCCGAGCAGGGGGGAAATGGTCAGGGTGAGGGGAGGGAAGGGAGGGAGAGAGGAGGGGGGAAATGGTCAGGGTGAGGGGAGGGAAGGGAGGGAGCGAGGAGGAGGAAGAGAGTCGAGAGGGGAGCTGAAGGCACGGTCAAAGAGAAAGGTTTTGAGACCGGCCTTGAAGGAGGAAAGGGAGGAAGCAAGGCGAAGGCACTGGGGGATGGAGTTCCAGAGCCTCGGGGCTGAGAGGCTGAAGGCCCGACCACCGATAGTAGGGCGGTTGGGGCGGGGGACGTGGAGCAGACCGGAGCCAGAGGAACGGAGGGTACGGGCAGGTAGGTAGGGGGATAGTAGGTTGGAGAGGTAGGAGGGAGCAAGGCCGTGAATGGCCTTGTAGGTGAGGATGAGGATCTTGAAATCAATCCTCTGGGGGATGGGGAGCCAGTGGAGGCGAGCGAGGGTGGGAGTGATGTGGTCCCGAAGCCTGGTGCGGGACAGTACACGAGCTGCAGAGTTCTGAATGACCTGCAGCTTGTGGAGGGAGGTGCGGGAAGGCCGGCGAGGAGAGAGTTCCCATAGTCCAGCCTTGAGGTGACAAAGGCGTGAACCAGGGTTTCAGCAGCGTGAGGGGTGAGGTAGTGCCGTAATCTGGCGATATTCCGGAGGTGATGGAAGGCGGTGCCAGTTGTGGTGCGGATGTGAGGGAGAAAGGACAGCTCAGGGTCGAACAAAACGCCGAGGTTCCTGACTGGCTTTGAGAGGTGGAGAGTGCAGCCTTGGATGCTGATGGTGTCAGCGCCTGAGGTGCGGAGGCGCTGACGTGAGCCAATCAGGAGGGCCTCGGTTTTTCGCACGTTGAGCTGAAGAAAGTTGTCTCTCGTCCAGGACTCGATGTCGGACAGGCAGGCTGTCAGGACATCGGTGGTCGTGGAGTTGAGAGTAGAGGAGGAAAGGTAGAGTTGGGTGTCATCCGCATACATGTGGAAGTTAACCCCATGTTTGCGGATGATGTCACCGAGGGGGAGCATATAGAGGGTGAAGAGGAGGGGACCGAGGACAGAGCCCTGAGGGACACCACATGAGACAGTACGGGGGGTGGAGGAGAAGCCATTCGTTGAGACGAAGTGAAGACGGTTTATAAGCTTTATAAGCTCTAACAGCTCCAAAATTCTGCAGCCAAGTTGTCTCCTGCACCAGACTTCATGTTCCCTTTCCCCCGCTCCCATTTCTCACCCAGCTTTCCTGTCTCTTGGTAGTGCATTGACATTAAATCTTTGCCCTGAGTTTTAAATCCTTCCCCAGCTCTCCATCTATGTAAGCTTCTCCTATCCTCCAATCTTTTGGTTCTGGCAAATGGCTTGTTTGTGCTCCACTTCTTCAAACCTACCATTGGTTACCAAGCCTTCAGTCACTATATCCATGACTGCTAGAGCTCTCTTCCAAATCTGTTTGCCTTGATTTTCTTTTTCACTGCTTATAAACTTTCTTTGACAGTGACTTTGGTCAACATTTTTAAATCTCCTTGCCCCTGCTCACTTCTGATTAATTCGGCCAAGCACTAGGCCCTTGAGAAGTTTATTCTTTGTGAATGGTGTTATACAAGTCCAGTTTTTATTAGCAAATTGATGTGTGCTCTGTGGTAGATTCAAATTTGACTGTATCATAATTTTGTTTCTGGTTTGTAGCAGTCTGATCTGAATTGTGGGGACTGACTTGATTTCAATAAGTATATCTTTTAAAATCTCAGTGGGAGGAAATGTTAAATTGAGGATATTCGTGATTTCTTTTAAGCATGAGAGAATTGAGGATCTGATCACAATGATTTGCTAAAATAAATGTTTATTCATGATATGAAAATCCTTTTTTTAAAAAGGATTGTTCACTGTGTGTGTGTGTGTTTCTGCTTCTCTGAAATGTTCCCTAACAAAAAAAGCTGAAGTTCTACTCAAGGGATGACATGAATGGTAATAATAATAATCCTTGCATTTGACATAGAGCCTTATCACATCTTCGAGATGTCTCAAAGAGATTCACAGAATATACTGTAAAGTGAATTGACTGTATATCTTGTGGGCAAAATCACCATGTATTATGAGCAATTCTGTTGTTGTAGTTCACGAGAAAAGTAGATCAGGGAGAATTTCTGTGCAGTTTTCCTTCCGACTATGCAAACTTAGTTCAGGGAGCGGCACAGCTTTGTTTTGCTGCAAGCAGATGAGAACATTATCTATTTTATGTTTCTCCTCCACAGATTGTCAACTGGACAAAAAAAGAAACAATTGCCCAAAACTCAGAAGGTGAGGTATTCAGTAAAGAAGACGAGAAATTCTATTCAAAGCAATTTGGGCAACACCGAGCAGCACCCAAAGTTCTGGGGCTGTGACATGGCCAATAAAGAAAATGAAGTGGTTTCTTCAGGGACTCTGCCTAACTTATTTAATGACAACCACAGCAACCAGCTGAGCTCTGTTGATTCTCCTACTTCACAGACCGATGGTGCTTCCACAACATGCAGGGACTATTTTCCACAGGTGAGAATGTCAATGAAGCTGCTGCCCTACATAGTTTTTTTTTACTGTGGTAAAATCCTCTTGGATCTCATTCAAATTTTGTATTCAGTGTTTTCTGTTAACATTAAAAAATGTGTTTTGGGGGGAAATGAGGGGAAAAGCGAAGAATATGAGCACTTTACATGAGTTCTTGGCAACTTGTTGAATACGTGCCATTATAGTCTGCCGTTCACTCAGTTGACGTGGATGGTTGGGCTGTCAGCAAATGGTTTTCATTGTGCTGGCAAGCCTTGGCTTTGTTCTCTGATGTATGGGCCCTTTGAAAATTCCAGACTGGTTATATTTTGTTGAACAGTTTTAACTGTTCAACAATGTGGTGAAGGACTGAGGAGCATATGTAGCATGGTACTGATTCTGTGTGAACAAATGATTTTTGCATAGTATGGAAACTGACAGTTGGGCTTTACAAAATGTTTCATATTTTGTGCTTTTCTGAATTGTTTCTAGCTTTTCCAGTATTACCAAGAACATTACACTAAGAATATATGATTTTATGAATCCCCCCACAGATCTCCAAGGATCATGCTGCAATGATGCGAGTGCTGTTTGGCAGGAACCTGAGACTAAATGTGGCTCTGACATTTTGGCAAAAAAGTGCAAGTGAATTGGTAGCTTACCTGGTCAGGTAATATCCTTTATTCCTATTGTCCTATTACAAATTACATTGTTGATCATAATAGCAAACTTGAATTCCCAACTCTACCTCCACCCTTGACTCCAGGACCGCTGTGCTGACAGAATGTCTGACAGACATTAAGTCCTGGATGAAATCTAACTTTCTTCAGTTGAACGTCAACAAAACCGAGGCTCTCCTAATTGGCTCCCGTCAGTGCCTCCTCACCTCAGGCGCTGATAACATCACCATCCATGGTTGCACACTCCACCTTGCTAAGCCAATCCAGAACCTTGGGGTCTTGTTTGACCCTCAACTATCCTTTCTATCCCACATCTGCGTCATGACCCACTCTGGCTTCCCCCACCTCTGCAATGTCGCCTAGCTCCGACACTGTCTCACACTGCAGGCTGCCGAAACCCTCATACACGCCTTCATCACATCGAGGCTCGACTATGCAAACTCACTGCTTGTCGGCCTCCCCAACTCCTCCCTCCACAGGCTGCAGATCATCCAGAACTCTGCAGCCCGAGTCCTCTCCCGCACTAGGTTCCACGACCCTGTCACCCCCATCCTTGTCCAACTCCACTGGCTTCCCATCACACAGAGGATATAGTTCAAGATCCTGGTCCTCACCTTCAAAGCCCTCCACATTCTTGCTCCCCACTACCTCTCCGACCTCCTAACCCCCAACCACCCTGTTCGCTCCCTCCACTCGGCGGGTTCCGGCCTGCTTCACGTCCCCCGCCTCGCTTGCCCCACTATTGGCGGGCGAGCCTTCCTTCACTCTGCACCCACCTTCTGGAACTCCATCCCACAGCCCCTCTGTCTCACCCCCTCCCTCGCCACCTTGAAAACCCACCTCAAGACCCTCCTCTTCGACGGTGCTTTCAATCTCCCTGCTCCCCCCCCCCCCCCCACCCCACCCTCCACCCTCTGCCAGCTCGGATCCGTAACTCTGTCTGTCCAGCGCCATTAAATTTGTAATGGATTCTATAGACTAAATAGATATCACAGTTACTGCATATTGAAGTTCCTCTGAATTTAGTGCCTGTCACTTGCCATGTTTGGTCCTCCCTCCCTTTACCCAAAATGACATACAGTAAGGTCATAAGTATGTTTGGCCTTCTCTGACCCCCTCAGTACCACTCAGATTTTCTGTGATTAAGATGCATGCCGCTATTTTACCAAATTTCACTAATTACTTCCCTCAACTGCAAGGATTATTATTTATTTTAAATGCCCAAATGTGTATCCCATCCAGTCCTGGTGTTGTGCTATCTTTTAGCGCCTTCAGCCTGTATGTCGCCTTATTGTCAGTCATTGCTTTCATTGATATACCTGAATGTTTGTGTAATAGGATCCAGGATGTTGCTGTCATTGCAGATTGTCTACCAGTGATTACAAAGAGGTAATTTTTGGATTAATATTTTGTCTACCTACTGTAGAATCTTGTTACAACCAGGTTCGCGTATTTAGGTGTGGGCTCTGAAGTTTGCATCCATCCAGCATTATAATTCCTTCAAAGAAAAAAATAAATTGGTCATTTCAATCCACGACTGTTTGTGGGACACTGCTGTGCACCATTGGCTACCGAGTTTCGCCCACAAAGTATACAGTCAATTAAATTTGCAGTCTATTCGGTGAAGTGCTTTGAGACGTCTCAAAGACGTGATAAAGCGCGATATCAAATGCAAGGATTATTATTATAATTATTATTACAATGCCGATCAGTGCTTTTGCATACACAGCACATGCAATTGAGCCCCATTAGAACACTAGTTGGGATTTTACCAACTGCTAAGTACCAAGTTGTAACAAAGCTTTATTATATCTTCTGATAAATGTAATTGATTTCCATGGTGAGTCAAAATTAATTTTTTCACTTTGTTTTTGCTCATAGTCTGGAGGAAGAAAAGCAAAGTATCTCAATAGGTTGTTGTGTTGACCTGTTACCATTAGCCCAAGAGTTATTAAGAAGCCGATTTGAGGAGTAAGTACAATTGAATTCATGAAATATACAATCCTATATATTCAGACAATTGTATAGATGATGTGGGAGAATGCTCCCCTCCGTTTGCTGAAGATAGAACCTTACCTACAAACAGTGAGCAGTGACCTATATCCTAGTTTGTAATGATGTTCACCACCCTTTATAGTGAATCCTACTTCTGGTGCACAAATCTTTTGTCATTTAATAATAATATAAAATTTATATCTTCACTTGAATAAACTAGGCTAAAATTATAGGGAAAGTTTTGTAGGTTTTTAATCATGCATTTGTTCAGGAAACATTTTGTCCCTGATCAATTCTGAATATTTTAAGAGGCTGCCCAGTGGTTGACTATCTAACTGCAAATCCAAAATGAAAGATTTGAAAGCAGATTGCCAAGACTCCAGGCCTATCCAGTTGAAGAAAGTAAACTAGTTGGCTCATGCTGTACTGGGCTCTGAATTTGAAGTGTTCTATCTCGGCATGAAGGAAGGAGGGAAACAGATTTATCTCCAGTTGAACAATATTTCCAATAGCAATGGAACATCTCGCACTGAGAACATTGTGTTTAAATATTCTTGCATAATATTGATTTAGGAAAGACCAGAGGAGATTCTCTTCCCCCCCCCCACCACCCAACACAAATAATGTTCACTCTTGTTTGGTAACTTTTTAAATAAAGTTTTAATAATATACTATTTGAATGATGTACAATACTTTAATATGGATCTTAAATCGTTCTAATAAATGTTTGCATTAGATTAGCATATGCTATTTTCAAAGGTTAAACAATATCCTTTGTCCATCTTCTGGCGTGACTTAACACTTGCAATTGTCATGTTTCAGATATTTGATTGTTGGTTTAAACTGGCTCCTAGCTGTCATTAAGCGATGGTGGCCAGAGCTTTCTGCCAATACAAAAAATAGTAATGAAGCTCATGAAAAAGACCAGTAAGTGAAAATCTATTTTTGGTTTACTTCTTTGGTTTTAATTAATTTTAAAGATTATGGTTACATTTTTGGTGTTGTTCAAACAGAATAGTTCATTTGCTCAGGGTTTAAAAATCACCTTTCTCCCTTCCACTAATGAGAGCAGAAAACGAAAGCTGAAGGTCAGTTCCTTCAGTGCCATGCGGTACCTCAACTGAGCGGTCGTACTTAAGGTGCATTTTGATCAGCTGTTTAATGTCACAGTGGATCATATCTATTCTCAGCTGACAAATTTTACAGCAGAGGTCATTGGTTAATGAACAGGAGTAACTTAGCCCAGGGATGCTGAAGCTAGTAGTTGTAGCACTCATCTATTGCCTCAGTTGGAATCAGTTCACCCAACACAGACTGAGATTTAAACCTTCATCCATCTGGGCTTTATGGCTGTGTGATTTACCCTTACCAGTTAGCATGCCAGGGATCAGTTTGTTCTGTTATGTGCCCTCGTGATCTATCAAAAGTCGACTACAAAAAATCACTGGTTTACTTTGAAGATTTTATGTATTTGTAGCCAATTTATCCAAAATGGTTGCAAGCATTTTAATGAACCTTTTCTAGTCATCTATTTGGATTATCTTTATTGTATTGTGCTTGTTACACAGCAGAAGGGGCAGTGCTTCTTAGAGATACCCTTCCAGGGCAAGTATGTAAACCTTAATGGCTTCTGTTGTGTTTGATGCTGTGATCATTTAATGCCAGTCAATGTGTTTTATTCATTACCCCGCATTGGATAGAACAAGTAAGTTATACCTACTTACGGCTGTTAATTTATTGTCTTGTCTGAATTTAGCATCAGAAAGGCACTAATTGCATTCTATTTAAACATCCCTGAGATAAAATATCAACTGGAGTTGGATAACTATAGTGTGAGTAGGAACTAGGTCAAAATCCAGTACAAGCAAGCTAAATAATCTTCTTCTTTTGTGTCCAGTTAAAGTAATAGATGTCATTGGAATGGCAATCCAGTCTCACCCAAGCTAAATTCTAGGGAAGTGGAGAGCTGTGACTACAACAACAAATTACATTTTGTAAAGTACATGAATGGTACTCTGGCAATGCCTAGTCTCAATGGTTGGTTAATTTTTTAAAGTCAGGAGTTTGGCTCAAGTGACATAAAATGTTAGTGTTTCAATGTTCTGAGAGCTTTAAAACATAACCTTGTTTGTGGAAAAAAAGTTACCTTTACATTGACTGAAGTAATCCACAAATTGGTTTCAGGAGTTGAACTTCAAATTGAAACATGTAAACTGGATTCATGATACATTTTATATGTAGAAGTACCATTAACATTTTAGTATAAACATTTTAGTATTCATGTGTAACCTACAAAATCTCTACATTTGAAATATTGTAATCTCTGTTCCAGGAATATTCAGATCATGAAAGACTGGTTACAGCAATTAAGAGAACAACGCTATCATTTATCTTCTGTTCCAGGATATACTGGTAAAGTAGCTAAGGTAGGAACTGGTTGGTGAAAGCATGCTTTTTCCTTCAGGGCTTCATAAAGCCTCCCTAAACTAGCCGACTCGGCAATGTTGAGAGTTTCCTGAGATCACTTGCCCTTTTAAGGTTTATTTTTCTACCTGGGGAAGAGAAAAGCATCTAACCCTTGGTCTGTGACTGAAATGTCATGGTGCATGCCATTGGCTAAAGAACCAGAGTACTACAGAACCTAAATTGGAAGAATATTTTTGTTAAAGTGTTGGCAAGTTAATATCCATGAATTATTAACTTGCAGAATTCGAAAACAAACCAAATTTAAAGCTCATTATTTTCCCCATAGTAGCAAGTGTCTTTATAACACCACACCACAAAAATAATTTTATTAATTATTTAGAATCATTCCTGTGGGCTATTTTCAGTAATAGGCAATTGCAATGTAGCTTTGCACAATTAGAGTTTGCGTGTTCATGCAAGGGCATGTAAATACTACTGTAAGGAGTTTATAAAGGAAAAAGTATGTTTTGCTTCTTTCTGTTAGATGACTACCATTGCAATTTAATTGCCCTGTTATAGTTTGGTAGGTATCCAAGAAACAGGCACAAATGGTTACCTAGTGCTATTCTCAAATGCAGAATCGTAAATCAACAAAGCATCAATTGACTCAGTAGTGAGCTAAAAGGCTGTACCATTGCCTTGGAGTTTAGATGATATTTGTACAATGGAAGCCGGTTAAGCCGGACACATCGGGGATGGACATTTTGTCCTGCTCAAGACATGTCCGAGGGTAATGGTGATAAAATGATTCGGGCCAGGCGTTTTGTTTTGTTTACCCAACATTTGGGGTTAAACAGCATCCAGCAAAAGCGGATTCCACTGTATTTTCATATTGTGCTCAAGCTTTGACATCTTCTGAAGACCTTGATTGTTTTGCAATTCTGTAAATATACTTGCTCCCAATCATTTGTTTATGTTGGCTGTAAATAGTAATCTGATATATAAGATAACCAGAATCACCAAGACCTGTAACATTGCACATTTTTATATGAGGTGTCTGCTTGTTTTTGATTTGGGTTTTATTTCTTCAGAGTGTTGGAACGTATCTGGAGCAGTTGCACTAACGGCCTGTAGCATCCAGTAGACTTCTTGTTCGTGGACTCTCAGCAGTTAAATGCTGCTTTAGGACGGCACCGTACAATCCTAATTACTGAAATGTTTAGGAGATCAACACTGCAAAGTGTTGTCAGCAGTGAATTCAGCAACGCATTGCTCTGCGGAGAACCTCCTAAAACCACTACTGAAACCTAACAAGCTGCTTCACATTGAAGTGGTGGATTTTGCCAAGAGGCATACTCGACTCCGTGAGCTGATGATGTGAAGCTTTCCGATTCCAGATTTATTAGTCTAACTAGTACAGGACTAGATCTGTATCATTCAATGAAGCCGCATTAGTGCCAATCAGCTGCCACTGAAATGTTGTTACTTCAGGGCTTTTAGACACTGAATGTAACTTGTGTATATTTTGTTTCGACTTAAAAATAAGTTATGATTTCAATAAAGGAGACTCAGTGGAGCATGCAGCTGTTTACTAATCAAGTCAACAAAAGTGACCATAAAATGTGCATAGCACTGTATTCTTTTATTGCCTCGTTAAAATAGACATTTCATGTGAGTTTGCACCTAAATAATATGGTTGGTCTTTACATATGACCTATTATACTACTTGTGCATATTTTTAAAAGAAATCTTTTGAAAGGTCATTGAACCACTAATTGTCAATTGGGTTAAATATATTCTGTGATTTTCATTTTTTCCATCCTTCTCCCTCTTAAAGTACTTAAAATCTCCAGTGGATAAGTGGCACATGCTAGTATCACTATTGTCTAATAGAAAACTATGAATATTTTACATTGTAAATTATTCGCACTGTTTAGACGAATGAGAAGGTATGTATTTATTGCAGTTAAACACATTGCAAATCATTTTTTTAAAAATCTGACTTTTGTTTTGCTATTTTCATCCCTTGGATTTCCTTTCAGCTCTAATGCAGAATACTGAGAGGTTTAGAAACTACTGGGTATGTGTGTATTTGGAGGTTTTCAGTGGTTGTTAATCTGATCCAAACTTTATATGTAAAGCAATTTACTGAAGAAATGTTTTGCACACTAATTGTAATTGCTGTATAGCTTCAAATAATAAGATATGTAATTGCACAACAGATAAATTGGCATCTGTAAGAGAAAGCTAAATTAATGTTTCCATTGTGACCCTTCAGCAGACTAAAATATTTGAGCTTCACGAACCACTAAGAAAAGCAATATTAGGTATAGGTCAAACATTTAAAATACTAATTGTATTCACAAAGAATGCAGCTCATGATGCAATGCTAACAAAATTGTGTCAAGTTATGCAGCTATTAGAAAGTCCAAGTCACAGAAAGGTGGGGTGAATGCCTCCTTTAATTTTCTCACCGTTAATGCAGCTGGCAAGGGAAACACTTGTAGAATAAACAAGGCATCACATCTACTGTCAAGAGTATTTTATCATTGCAGTTCATCTTTTGCCTCTAGCACCTCTGCCTGTCTGGTAAAATGTGCGCTGCTTAAGTATACTCTTGAATACGGTAATGTAATCAAGCACATATCTCCCATCATTCATGCTGCTGATTGTCATAATTGATGCATTTTGTGTTGGTGATGCTGTAGGTAAAGGCATTGCTACACTGCTATTGTTTCCTTATGGTGTTGGAGCTACCCAAATAGAAAACAATAGCAGAATGGAGAACCGTTCCAATTGTTAAGCAGCTTCCCTTTTGTGCCACTGTGTGACACACACTAAACATAGCCTAACAATCGTTCTTAAAGTTTACCCAAAGGAGTCATTTAAAGTTTGAAGTTAATGAAATAAATGTTCAGAGCACCAAACTTTAAAGTGTTCATGAATTACTGCATTTGGATAAGGCTTGGATTGAGCTGTGCAGGAGGCCAAAAATAGAAAGGGAAGAGTGTAATAACAGCTTTTGAAAATGGGTTAAAGTATTTGATATCTAACAACTAATGATATTTTCATTTGATATGCACAGGAATGCCAATTGTATTGGAGTATATATGAATGCTTTATGTGACCTATATTGGTAGCTTTGACCTAAAAGTCAGAGCTTTTAATTTCGCAGATAATTTATTAAAAGATATTGCGACAAATATAAAATGAACATTTTCTTATATTGTATAGCTTGTTTCATGTTATGCCTCCAGATATGCTTCACCTGCAGCATTTAGTGGCAAACACATTTAAGCTAGACAATTATATCTTGTGTGTAAAACTTTCTAATCAGAATAATCGTGTAATTTACAATTTGTGTTTGAAATTATCAACGTTTGCATTTTCCGGACTGCATTGGCCTGCTGGGTCAAACAACACATCTTATTGAGTGATGCAACAATTAAGATTACATTATTTTTAGAAACAAGTACAATACACAGGACAAGTAAAGTTCTCCCCTGAAGTCGGATGCATGTCGAAATTCTGTGAGCACAAGCCCATGCGCTCACAATATTGCCATTCAATTCATTCTTCGTATATGATCGTACCTTTCGCCCCCAAAACATAGTCAATTTACTTTACAGTATAAACAAAACAACATACTGCAGATGCTGGAAATCTGAAAACAAAAACGAGTCGCTGGGAACACTCAGCCGGTCAGGCAGCATCTATGGAGAAAGGAAAGTGAGTCAACTC